CCACCTCCAAGCCTGGGGTTGGTATGATTAATGGTTTCTTAGTTGAAATGTAATTAGTCAACCTAAATGAAAATGCTTTTATTTTATATAATTAAGTTAATTCGTTGAATTAGAGTCAAATTCCGTGTCTTGGACAACTTGTCACCATGAGGGGTATTTGTTTTCCAGACAAAAAAAAACAAATCTTGTGAATTTTTTTTTTTTTTAATCGTTTCATCCCAACAAAGGCAGAAATACCACTAGTACACAAAGAGTTACAGAGAGAGAAAACAAGAGAAAAGACTGGGTATAGGTGGATTGTGGAAAGGATAAAAGAAGAAAAGGGTTCAAGAAAACAGATGATGGTGATTGACGTTGTATTTACATTTTTGAAGATTGTAGTTTTCGGAGAATCAAGTAAACAGAAGGGAGTTCCACTGTCGGGAAGTATGAGAAAAGAAACTGTTAGAGTAGAAGTGGTGGTTTATTGCAAGAAATTAGTCATACATGAATACATTATGAATTAGTCATGCATAAAGTATCTATTTCAGGAACATGAGGGTGGTGATACAATTAGGGTTACTGATCACCATCAATGTCTATATCTCTTGTAGACTATGAATGAACAAACACAGACTCAATTACAACAGTGTACTATTGTATAAGAATAAGAACTATTTTATAAACTCTTGTTTTTTATTATTATCCACCCATATCCTTATAATAAACAAAATGCTGTCAAATTCATCTGACCTTTATAGCCAAGACTTGCTACTTCCACAGAGCTGAATCACCCTCATTCCCAACATATTCCAGTCATAAGAAGGAAGTTCCATTCAAATAGCTTCTTACCAAGAACTACTACTTTCATGAACAGGCACTCATGTGGATGCTTCCCTGAATACTACAATCTTAATCTCTTTATGTTTAGGTTCAGTTGTTATCTATGCTCTCTATACTCATAATCTTTGATTAATGAAGTTATCATTTTTACTGGCAATTTGACTTTTAAGTTGACTTTGAAAATCATCACAGGTGGGCGCTGTTAATGAAAAAGTTAACTTCATAAATCGTCAATTCCATAACCAAAATTTAACTTTGTTAACCATTCAACAGCTAGCTCTTTAAAAATGCAATGGAAATTATTGATAAACTGTTAACATTAAATTCTGACTCTGCTCCGGCTGAGGTTTAGTGGCACTGGCAGTTTTAACTTTGACAACATAAACAGATTCAAGTTCTTGAGATGCCATAATGACATTCAAAGTTGGCTTGTGGGATGAATTGTTGGCGAAAATGTTAACATCGTTAATTAAAGCAATTAATGGATTAATGGTTTGGTGCCCAGCTCTGTCCACTTCCTACCTCTTCCTTTTACATTCATATCATACACTTTATTTCGTAGGCCTCTTGGTCCTTGTGTTGGGTGAACATGAGATGTTAGGGTAATTATTGATTCTGTGTGGAAATCAAAGCTATTCCATTTCAGTCCAAGGATCCACAGATACAAAATGAACTACATGATCAAGCAATTTGTGAGGCACTGAAACCAGACTGTTGTTCTACACATAGTCATACTAATCTAAGTATATCACAAGTCTTCTTGAGTTTACATTTTCTACTGATATGAAGTAGAAAGATTATACTGAAATGATTGCTAGGTCTACTATAAAAAAAAGTTGGTTCACTGTATCATAAAAAGGGTCAAAGTCGCCTGAAAGCAATAAAAGGAACATGGAAGTGAAGTTATAGCAGCGGGAAAGGGAGTTAGGCCAAGATACCAGGTCAGGGCCATTAACATTGCAGATTCTTTGGATTTTATCAAGAATCTCTAAATATATAGCAGAAGTGCCAGATCAGATGTGGCAGCAATATTCTATGAATGGTGGACTTATAAAAGATGTGAGGTAGATTTTGTCAATAAAAATTGTTTAGTACCAAATTTCCTCACATCAGACCTAGCAATTGATTCAATATAATCTTCCCACTTCATGGCAGCAGAAAAAGTTAGCCTGAGAAGAAGACCCTGCAAGGTGAAATGCTTAACCTATTCTGAGTTGAATAGAGCCTCTAGTACTATACCAAAAAGAGGTAGAAGGCTAATAGATTGATAGTAGAATCAAACAGTTTGCCTTTCTTACAAACTAAAATGACAGAAGAGTATTTCCAACAAGCAGGAAAGCAAGAAGCAGCAAGGCATTTATTGTAGAGTTTAGAGAGAACAGGAGTCAGTTCAGGAACACATTTCTTAAGAACTATAACAGAGATATCAACAAGACCCCATGCTTTGTGAGGATCCAGTTTGAAGGTGATATCTGAAACCAGGGACAAAGTTATATGCATATCACACAATAGGGACTTAGTTCATACATTTATAGGTCTAACATTCACCCATGCATTGGATATTGCTGCCACATATGGTCTGGTGTTTCTGACATCTTGGCTTCAGTCACTTTCTCACTGCCATAACATAGCTTCCCCTGCCTTTTCTATAAATATTTTCATAGCAATTGTTCCTATGAACTTTCCTTGATTGTACCTAGGCTTTATAAATTCAAATGCAGTACTAGATTGGTGCAAGATCTCACCATTTTATAGCTGAAATGAGTAGATGTAACCATAATATTAACAGTTTCTTTTATCACAATTCTCACTTGTGGAATTCTTTTCTGGGTTCTTGCTTTTCAATTAACTTTGATCTTGAAAAATGTAAATGCAATGTAAATCATTATCTTCTCTTTTCTTAATTTCATTTCTACATATTATTTTTCTCTCTTTAATAATGCTTTCTTTTTCTCATATTCTTTCACACTCAGTAACCCCTTGCATCTTAGTGGATTCATTGCCTTGCTTCAGGTGAAACAATTAATTAAAAATTCAGGCAGAGATACTTCAAATGAGTCAAGAGTTGAATTGGAAGAGAATTTCTGAGCAAAACATTCTGCTTTATCAGCAGAAGATGTTAACACTTCAAATTGATTCAACAGAAGAGAGATAGAAAACTTTATTTTACTTAACACACTATTATAAAACCACCAGTAGTATGTATATATATATATATATATATATATATATATATATATATTTTATATGCTCGGTACTTACTCCAAATCATGTAACATCATGGGATAATTGTCCATACCACCAAATGTTTAATATCTAAAAAACCACTACAGTAATTGAGTTTCTTTTTTCCAGGTTTTCAGATAAGACATTTAGCCATATTAACACCATTTTTTGTAGGAACCCTTTGAGTTATTTAGCTAGAAAGAGAACAGCTTAAAATCATTTTTTGTCAGCCCTACTATATCTTTCCAACTGAGCAATGGTGAGAGAAAAAAGATCATTCAGGCCTTTGGTAATGGTATCAGCATTCATACTCTGACAACCATCTTCAAAGTTTATTCAAAAACCATCAAGAGAATGGTGAATAAGTTTAAAAAAGAGGGAACAGTAGAAAGGAAAACTAGATCAGGAGGTCACAACAGCAAGAGGGATCATCATTTCACCTTAGAGCTAAATACATTCTTATTGTTCAAAGTAGAGTGTAATAGCTTCATAAAAACCTTGGAGAATTCATTTCTAAGATACAATGGTTCCAAGCTTGATCTAACATTCGGACAATTTTGCTGTTACATCAGGTACATATATATATATATATATATATATATATATATATATATATATATATATATATATATATTTAAATTGTGTGTATTTAGGCAGCATTTTTTCATTCATACATGTCTCATTAAATAATATAGACAAGTGTTGTCTATTTATTTTATGTAAATTCTTTTCATAAAGTCTGATAAGCTTAATAACATTATCATTAAACGAAGAAAGCAAATCACAATATTGATCCATATTTTTTAATCCAATCTAAGCTTTCGGCTTACATAAGCCATTATCAAAGATGTCAATTACTGTATAATATATTAAGCAATATATGGACAAGACAGTGATGATAGTCTGTGAGTGTTCACATGGATGATTTCCTAGCAATGATAAACACGTGCATATAAGATGCTAGAAGTGAAAATCGCACATGACATCACACATGACCATGCAAGAGTGAATTCGAAGAAGTATTAAGTATGGGAAGCCGTTGGTATAAACCAATGGCTTCTGTTACCAAATATAGACATTTAAGGATATTTGTAGAGATTCCATAGTTGATTTTGTTTAGGTTTAGTTTCAACTGTTTGATGTATATTGCTTCAAGGATTTTTAGTTTTTGTCTATTGTTTTCATGTTGAAGTATAATTGTGTTTTCGACAAGGATTTTATGGAATTGATTATTAAGCTTATCAGACATTATAAAAAGAATTTACATAAAATAAAGAGACAACACTTGTCTATATTATTTAATGAAACATATATATATATATATATATATATATATATATATATATAGTAAAAATAAATAACTTCTTTTCAATCAACTCACTCCAAGCAAGGTGATAATGCCACTAAGATGCTACTAGGAGTGAAAAAAAAAAAGAAGCTTTTAGAAGGAATTGGAAACCAAATCCTGAACAGTAAACTTGGGAAAAACATCTACTACTGTTCAAAGGAACAGGGAGAAAAGTGAAACAGACAATAGCCGAACTTATCTACTGCTATTGGGGGACAAAAAAATAATTGGTGAGTAAAATTTCAGAGTTCAGAGAGAGTTAATAGAAGTATAGAGATAAAGTAGACTTTAGAAGCAACAGGAGACAAGGGATAAACCTTTACTTCTGTTCAAAAGATCAGGGAGGAGTGTGAATTGGATGACAGGCAAACCTGTCTAGTCCTATTGAGGAGAAAAAAAAAATAAATAAGAAATTAGTAAATAAAATTTCAGTGTTCCGACAGAGACATTAGAAATATAGAGATGAAGTAGATTTTAGAAGGAACCAGAAACTCAATCCTAAACAGGAAACAAGGGATAAACCTCTGCACCTAACGGTAGGTGCACCTATCTAGTAAACAGAAAAAGTGTACAGTTGAAGAAATACAATTCTGATATATCTTACCAGGGTTGATATGGTTCCATCCTGATAAAATGTCCACATCTGTGCTTGGTTGGAAACTTCTTTTTGTTGCAAAGCGACAACATAGCCGGAGATGTCAGTTGAACTGGATTTCAGTTTGGTTGTCACAGATAAGTCTGTGCAAACGGTCAAGCACAACTGGGGCATTGCTTTGCTGTAGATAACACCATTCTGAAAAGAAGTAAAAGAGTTAAATGATATTTTGACTGATATCCTTTTGATTTTTTCCCAAATAAAGTACAACACCATTCAGTAATCATTTGTACAACTTTGGTTGATTTCAACCTTTAGCACTCTGCATTATTAATATTACTTCCATGTTCACTGCATTCTTTTTTGAGGCCTCTCATTTGCAGTATCCTTACTGTTAATTTCATTCAAAGTTGTTTTCTGTTGCCATAGCAGGATATGACAACATGAGTAAGAAATTCAAATGAAGTCACATACAGAGTGATAAAGGTTAAAATCAAGACAGATTATGCCCCCCATGCAAAAAAAAAATATGTGGAAGATATATTTCAAAGCAGGTCATTCAACCTTATTTTAGTTGCCATCATCAGAGAGAAGATGATACTGTTTTACTTGACTGTCTTTGTTTTGACTTTGAGGCATGTGTCGTGTCAACTAAAATATTTAATAAAATATTTCATCATGATTTAGGTACATACCACCAAAATATTGTGCAGACATAGTAGGAAATATACCACATGGCTTTTTAGGGTCAATTAAGAAATAAATAATATAATTCAGGATCCAATGTTCTTATGAAAAAGTGTAGAAAACTCATGAAACCCCAAACAGGATACACACAGATGTCACCAAGGTCCAGGTCACTCTAGCTGCTTATCTTCAAGACCCCATTCAAAGCAACAGTGCTGACAAACTACAAAGAGACTGCTTCAGACTATGGCACCACAGTTCATAGTAAAAACTAAATTCTAATTATCTCTTGTATTCCCCCGTTACTACTAAGCACGAATACACGTACTGACTCTTTCACACAAACACACATAACAACATTTCACTGTTCTCATATACGTATGCAATACAGTTTATATTTTTATCTGAGAACTCTTTTAACAAAGGACATTACTCATTCGATACATTCAACCAATTCTTGTATTCTTGTCATTATATTAAATTAATGTTTATTTGTTGATACTACATTGACTTTTTCTACTAAATTTTATTCTTTTAGTGAAAATCGTGGGATTATTCTAAATGTCCAAATTATGAGCAGTCCTGCAACAATATTCCATATTTTGTATCAAATCCAAATTTTAACATTTAACAAACACTTGAGTAGGATTCCTGCACATGAAACTTTTCAAAATGAAATTTTTTAACTTCAAAAACTTTTGTGTATATGTTACTTATGACATAAAAATTGTTTTGAAATGCCAGAGTCCCATGTCTTAAGAACCAAATTCACCTTGTTAACCATTACAGTGTACTAAGATGCCTGTAAAGAAAATTTTTTATAAGTGAGGTTCACCCTGTACAAAGCATCTACTCTTATCTAATGTCTCATCTACCCTGGCTGAGTTAAATAGTAAGGCAGACAGTGATATTTAAAGTGTGGGTAGTTCTATACAAGCCTTCACCACAAGAATCAAATTATATGTCATCACACACAAGCAAATATATATATAATCATATGAGGTGTCCAAAGTGTTCTTCTGTGTGCTATTTCCCTTCAGGACATTGGCAATCATGGCTCTCCACAAGGTCCTGACCTTTGCAGCCTTAGTAAATTTTGTCTTTTTGCTATTTCTCCTAAATACTTGTGAGATACAATAGACGATTATCTCCCTTTACTCAAGATAAATCATGTGGGTTTCATGATATCTACTTGGTGATGTCACTCTATACATTGACAAAAGTAGTCACACACATTGCCAGTCACTTTTATAGGAGTAAAACTGAGTAGGTACTTTTTTAACTTGAGCTAAGGGTCCTGGGTTGAAGGTAAATCTGCTCCTCCCAGCATGTGGTACAATTAAGAAGTGCATGATGCCATTTCCCTTTGGGTATATATATTCCTCTGATGTTGAAAGAAATCATCTCCAGCTCATAGTGCTCAATTTGGGAGAACTGAAGATTCACATTTTCTGTTTGTGGAATGTGTCCTCGCTTGGAACATAATAGATGTATCCAACTTGCTTGAATCTGGAGCCCTAAACATGGCTTCTCCAGAAATACAGAAGGATCTCCATATTATATATAAGAACCTATCTTTTCTCTTTTCACTCTGCTTTTTCTATTTTTCTTTGTGTGGGACATGTATAATAATACCTATAATAGGGAAAATACAAATGGGAGAATAAACCTTTTTCCATAGCTCTCCTGTTATACCATTTTCTGCTATTCATTTACTCAAGCTCATTAGGTAGATTATGCACTTTCCACCAATCTAGTACTGCACTTAAATTTATAAAGTATAGGTACCATAGAGGAAAGTTCATCCAAACAATTACCATAAAATATTTATTCAAAGTCTGGACGAATGGTAGATTTATAAATATGTAAGATAGTGTCTGGAAAGAAAAATTGTCTAGCACAACACAGGGAACCAACTTTCTTAGCAGCAGTGTTCACATGGATTGTTATGATTACCAAAAGGAACCAAAGAATACAAAACAATCGTTATTTAATTTAAGTATATATTTTTTTTTAGAGAAGGGGGTGTATTTAAAATATAAGGGGAAATGTGAGATAATAATGATTAAAAAATAAAAAGAATTTAAGAGATAATAATGATTAAAAGAAAACAAAACTTTTTAAAGATAAATTTTGGACCATGATTGAAAAGATAACAAAAGATTTTAAAAGATAAAATAAGAGATAATAAAGATAACAAAAAATTTTAAAAGATAAATTAAGAGATAATAATGATTAAAAGATAACAAAAAGATTTTAAAAGATAAATTAAGAGATAATAATGATTAAAAAGATAACAAAAGATTTTAAAAGATAAATTAGATAATATGATTAAAAATAACAAAAGATTTTAAAAATAAATTAAGAATAATAATGATTAAAAGATTTTAAAAGATAAATTAAGAGATAATAATGATTAAAAGATAACAAAAGATTTTAAAAGATAAATTAAGAGATAATAATGATTAAAAGATAACAAAAGATTTTAAAAGATAAATTAAGAGATAATAATGATTAAAAGATAACAAAAGATTTTAAAAGATAAATTAAGAGATAATAATGATTAAAAGATTAACAAAAGATTTTAAAAGATAAACAAATAATGATTTAACAAAAAAAAAAGATAAATTAAGAGATAATAATGATTAAAAGATAACAAAAGATTTTAAAAGATAAATTAAGAGATAATAATGATTAAAAGATAACAAAAGATTTTAAAAGATAAATTAAGAGATAATAATGATTAAAAGATAACAAAAGATTTTAAAAGATAAATTAAGAGATAATAATGATTAAAAGATAACAAAAGATTTTAAAAGATAAATTAAGAGATAATAATGATTAAAAGATAACAAAAGATTTTAAAAGATAAATTAAGAGATAATAATGATTAAAAGATAACAAAAGATTTTAAAAGATAAATTAAGAGATAATAATGATTAAAAGATAACAAAAGATTTTAAAAGATAAATTAAGAGATAATAAATTCTTCATTTAAATTCTCAAGGAATTATTTAAATTAAGCACCAAAAAGGGCAATGCAATTTGAAATGAATGTTTTAATTATGAAATGTACAATGTTCAGAGAAACCAAAAAAATTGGTGTTGTCAACTTAAAAATAAGTTTCAAGAAAAATGATTACATAACAAATCAACAGTTATTGGCTAGAGAAATGCTGTTGAAATTAGTTGCAATGTCCATTCTGTAAGTGGTTTTGTTTAAACTTCAAAGTTGTTCAGTTAAACAGAGTAAAGGAAACGTTTATACGGCCAAGGTCAAAAAGTGACATTAAGAACTAATGACCTCTTTATTTTATAATGTTTTTTCTCTGTCAGTATATCAGTATATCTACTTTTCTAGTAGTAGCTTTGAAAATTTCACAGATTTCCTGTTTGAATTTTGTTTTCTTTCTTTTTCTCACTGAAATCAAACAGAGTCTCTGATATGTCTTTTTTATCTTTCCTCACGATCAAAACAGATATTGGCAGGATGTTCCTTCCTTTCTCTCCTTTTTTCTTTCTTTCTTCCGTTCTTTCTTTCATTTCTCGCTTCCTTTCTTCCTTCCTTCCATCTTTCTTTCCTTCTTTCTTTTCTTCTTTTTTTCTTTCTTTTCTTCTTTTATCACTGAAACCAAGTAACCTCTCTGGTATACCTTTTCCATATTTGGACATGATCAAAATGGAATAGTTCATTATTTATAATGTACTGGTAGGATGTTCTTTACTTCCGTTCTTATTTCTTTCTTTCAATTTTTCTTTCCTTCTTTCTTTATTTCCTTCCTTCATTTCTTTGTTTCTTTCTTTCTTTTCCATATAGAAACCAAGTAGCAACTCTGATGTGCTTTTTTTGGTCTTGCCATAAAAAGAAAATGGAACAGTCCATTTCTTATGAGGTATTGGCAGGATCTTTCTTTACTTTGTTTGTTTGTTGCTTTCCTTCTTTCCTCCCATCTTTCTTGTTTTTTTTATTTCCTTCTTTCTTTATTTCCTTCCTTCTTTATTTTCTTCTTTCTTTCTTTTTCTCACTAAATCCAATTATCATCTCTGATAAGCCTTTTCCAACTATGCACACAATCAAAATGGAATAGTCCATTATTTATGAGATATTTGCAAGATCTTTCTTTCCCTCTTTCTTTTTTTCTTTCTTTATTTCCTTCTTTCTATATTTCCTTCCTTATTTATTTTCTTTCTTTCTTTCTTTCTTTCTTTTATTTCCTTCCTTCTTTCTTTCTTTCTTTTTCTCACTATAACCAATTATCATTTCCGATATGCCTTTTCCAACTATGCATGCGATCAAAATGGAATAGTCCGTTATTTATGATGTATTGGCATGATCTTTCTTTCTTTCTTCCTTTCCCTCTTTCTTTCTTTTTTCAGTCTTTCTTTCCTACAATCTTTCTTTTTTCTTTATTTCCTTCTTTCTTTATTTCCTTCCTCCTTTATTTTCTTCTTTCTTTCTCTCTTTTTCTCACTAAATCCAATTATCATCTCTGATATGCCTGTTCCAACTATGCATGTGATCAAAATTGAATAGTCCATTATGTATGAGGTATTGGCAAGATCTTTCTTTCTTTCCTTCCTTCCATTTTTCTTTTTTCTTTCTTTCTTTCTTTCTTTCTTTTTTTATTTCCTTCCTTACTTATTTTTTCTTTCTTTATTTCCTTCTTTCATTTTCTCACTAAAACCAATTATCATTTCCGATATGCCATTTCCAACTATGCACAAGATCAAAATGGAATAGTCCATTATTTATGAGGTACTGGCAAGGTCTTTCTTTCTTTCTTTCTTTCTTTTTTCTTTCTTTCGTTTTCTTTATTTACTTCTTTCTTTATTTTCTTTTCCTTTATTTCCTTTTTTCTTTCCTCACTAAATCCTTTCTCTGATATGCCTTTCTATTTTCTGATTAAAATGGAATAGTCCATTATTTATGAGGTATTGCCTGTTCCAACTAGGGACACACAGAATAATAATAATAATAATAATAATAATAATAATAATAATAAAATAATAATAATAATATGGGATTATACCATCCACACAGACAGAAAAATTGAAGCAAATATTTATTGTCAAAAAACCAGAAAGAAAAAAACTTGCCTACTAATTGATATGGTTTGTCCATGGATTGTAACATAGCAACCAAGGAATTTAAAAACTATCAAAATACAAAGACCTGGAAATTGAAATAGAAAAAATGGAAATTGAAAACAAGTAATAATAAGTGGTAATAATGGAATTATAAAAATGGAACAAAACAACACATTGAAAGAATCCTGGAAAAGCTTAAGAGACATACAGAAAATTGTCTTATTAAGTACAGCACACACACAAGGAGAATGTTAGCAACTTCATCGAAAAAAAAAAAAAAAAAAAAAATTAAAAATGTTAACAACACAACGACCTGCCTTAGGTCTTTCCATGAACTTAGTGGTGGTGTGTCCATAGCAGAAATCGAATGATGATAATAATAATAATATGTTAGATGTCAGCTAACACTTTGGTAATCAGAACATTGGATGATAGACTATGAAGTTTTGAAGTCAGTCACTTGTACAAAGGACAGACTCTGGAATATGAACTCCACTGAAAGAAAGAATAATTTAATTTTAAAAAGTTGACTTCTGAATTTAATTTAATTCATCTTCCCAAGTGGTTTGCTAAGATATTTATAATCCATTCATTCCAAATGTGCCACAAGGCCTTTTTATATACATTCTGTCTGAATTTATGGCCTTATGGCCACTTCAAAGTGAAACACTGGCTCCTATACAATCACTGAGGTTAAGCAACATGAAGCTTGCTAAGTACCTAAATGGGTGTCTGCTTGGAAATAACAAGTGCTGTAAGCTTGGATGTGTGATTAGTGTAATGGATAATGCTTCAGAATTGTTAATCAGAGAACCAAGTTCCAATTCCAGTTGGGTTCATTATATTCACTTACATGCAAATATCTAGGGAAAGGTATGAATTTACCTCTTCTTCCCCAACTATGGGTTAATTAATAAGACTTGTATTCCTTGTATGAAGAAAAGCAAAATGTTCATCTCAATTAACCCCCTACAGATATATTTATAATACCCTTGTCTTTCTTCCCTTCCCCCTTCTTCTTCTCCTTCTTTCTTCATATCCTTCTTCTCCATTTCTATCATACCCAATGTTGTGTGCTTTTTTATTTTTTTTAAATAATATAGTATTCATTAGTCTAAAAAAAAATGTTAAGAGGTCATTTGATAAAAATCAGCTGAGGATACCATAAGGTTGAAACCAAGTTAGCAGATTCAACTGACCTCCTGATTTAAAAGTTCTACATGTTATTTTTACTTTTTTTTTTTTTTTTTAAAATCAACCCTGCCTTAAACACCACTTGCAGATTAATCACTGGGTTCTCAAGCCAAACATAGTACATGACTTCTACTTGCTTTAGTGGCATTGCACCCCATTACATAAGAAGATATTGAAGCAGAAAATTGACCCTTGTCATCTACTCCATAACTGTGAACAAATGACAAAGAGGCTCAAGTGAAGACACAGCTTTCTATATTCAGTCGAACCACTGAACAAAAGCGCTCCTAGTCAGCATCTGTCCCTCTGATGCAGCCACCTTAACAATGTAGAACACATGCTCTCTCTCTCATCCCTACAGAATCCCTCCCATCTGGCTCCAGTGATGCTTAGCCCTTCTGGTCCTGCCTAAATCACCCCTGAACAGCTGTTGGTCATGTAGAATCAACCTTCAGAAATGGAGATATGTCACCAATGTTGATATCAAGTGCAAGTGGGGGTAATTAAAAAATATAGAACATCTAGTTTGCCTTAATCTTGAAGATTCATGCACACTTAATCTTGAAGACATAACACCTCAGGCAAGGGTCTGTATGCAACACTAGATGGCTGTGGTGTAATGACTTTATAAAAAGAAGAAAACTCAAGTGCAAGTCAGATCTATATCTTTTTGATTCTTGTGCAAACTGAACCTATGTATACCTTTTTTTTTGTTCTAGTGTAAACTCTATGTGTACCTTTCTGATTTTCATGCAAACCAGACTTACATCTACTTTTTTGACTCTAGCGTAAACTGGACTTATATCTAACTTTTTGATTGTAGTGTAAACTGACTTATGACCATATCATATTGAAACACCAGTTTTTGTCTGATCATCATAGTTAAGCAACATCAAGCTTGCTCAGTACATAGATGGGTGACTGCTTGGGAATACCAGGTGCTGTAAGTTTGGTTGTGTTGCTGATGTAATGGATACTGGTTCAGAATTGGAAATTACAAAGCTTAGTTCAAATTCTATTTTGGTTTGTTAAATTCACTTATGTGCAAATCCACTTCTTCCCCCAGCTATGGGTTAATTAGTTGGGCTTATATCAGTAAATTATTATTATATGCTAAAAATTCTTAAAATATTTTCTGAGCTTTAATAATTTGCAAAAGGTCGATAAACCATAAATACCAAATCAATCAATCAATCCATTGTAAACGTGTCTTATGTATACCTTTTTGATGCTCATGCAAACTGAATCTCTGTCTAATTTTTTGATCCTAAATAACATAAATTTCAGTGTATAAGTTGACCTCAAGATTTTTAGCTTGAAATTCTGAGTTAGGCCTATACCTACCATATAAGTCAACCGACGAAAACATGGTAGACTACCAGTGACCCAAAACTAAAGCCTACAGGTAAATTAAGTTAGACTACAGTATATGATAACCTGTGCCAAAACTACATAAGATCACACCACTTACCTGTATGTTGAGGCACTAACTGTAATATATATTGTATAAAAAATAACCTACAACCCACACTGTATATTGTATTGGTATAACTTAGTAAACATTAAAAATTTGTCAAGGCTACTAGGTTAATATAATACTGAATTTCTGTTACTATTTTATTATTTTATGGTATTGTCTGTGTTAATATACCAAATATGTTGACCAAACACAAGTTTTAGTGGGATATATTTGTGGCAGCCTACTGGAGGTATGGTAAGTGGTGTACAGTAATTGTTTGGAGTGCTGTCTCACTTGTTTACAACTTGGTGGTAAAGGTTTGCATTTCATAGCCACCGTATTAGTCGATCCATAATTTTGGAAAGATTTTGTTAGACTTGAAGAATCAACTTGTACACCGTAATTCACTGTATTTATTTATTTGTTTTATTATTTTATACTAATTCCTGTGTTAATATGCAAAATATATTCAAGTTTTAGTGGGATAAATTTTTGGCAGCCTGCTGGAGGTAGAGTAAGTGATGTACAGTAATTGTTAAGAGTGCTGTCCCACTTGTTTACAACTCAATGGTAATGGTTTGCATTTTATAGTCACTGTAGGGATACAAAAGGTGATTATCTCCCTTTGGTGCAGATAAGTGACATGGGTCATGTGACAGCCACTTAGTGATATTACTTGATACAGTGATGAGAGTAGCCAGTCAGTCAGTTTGCTTTTTTTAGCCTGGGCTAAATGGCTCAGGCTCAGGCTAAATCTGCCTTCCCCAACAGCTTACAAGCATATGTTGCTATTTTCCTTCTGAAATATATTTTCCCCAATTTGGGAAAACTCAAGACTTGCTATTTCCCTTTGTCAAATATGTCTTTGCCCGGGACATAGTAGATGAATCCAGCCTATTTGAATTTGGAGTGCTAAACATGGCTTCTCCAGAAATACATAAGAAACTCTATATTATATGTAAGACCTTTCCCTTTTATTTCTCCTTACACTTTGCTTTGCCTTGTCAATATTGTCTTCTGTGTAGAATACTTGTATGTATGTATACATAGGTTTGTGTATGTCTTAGTGGTTTTGGAAAGATTTTTAGGCTTGAATACTCGACTTGTAGGCCACAATTTATGGTGAATTGAAAAACTTGATATTCCATAAAACATAACAAACCAAACCAAGCCAATCAAAATAAATTATAAGGCTATTTATTTATTAAAAATTCTTGCATAACAAACTTGACCAAAAAAAAAAAAAACAATTTACTATCAGGTCATTCATCAAGATTTTATGTTTTTCTGGTTCAGCAACAAAGGTTGTCTGGAGCAGCAATACAAACAAAGAAATTCTATTATTTGTTGGCCTCTAACACAATAGTTGCCCCCAAGGCGATTAAACAAGCAGAATTATTTCAAGAGATACTCTTGTAAAGCCTTTGTCTGAATTCTTTATCTTGTATACTTCATTCATGAAGACTACTTTCCTTCCTGAAGGCAGTCTTCATGTTCTTCATTTGAATGTGCCATTTACAGAAATGAGAATGAGGAAATACAGAATAGAACTTCTTTTTCTTTTATGTCCCATGTCCTTTCAGAAACTGGGTGATCATGGCTCTCCACAACTATGTCAGAATTCAAATTAAGTTCCCTTGCTGCCCCAAGTAACCATTGAAACATTATTGTTCATCTGTGTCCATGTTTGGCCATTCATTGCTAAGTAGGTTTGTCCTTGCTTCTTTTGCTTTCCTGTGAATATTAAATTTTCCAGAATTGTTTTATTTTTCTCTCCTAGAAATTTCAATTGTCTCTTTCTGACTGTAAGCACCAGTTTCCTTGTAGTTCTGATTTTTCTTAAAAAATTCCTTGTTGCTCATATTCTATCCAAGGTATTCAATGATAAAACAACATTTGTCACTTCATCTTTTTTTCTTCATCTGTCAGGAGATTGCCAAACATTCACAGCCATAGTATACTTTTTTATTTTTTGTTGTATACTTTTTTATTTCTAATGTTGTATACTTTTTTTATTTACTTTTTTATTTCTAATGATATTTTCCTATCTCTTAATAGTTTACTTAATTTCTGAAAGGGATGAAGTGATTGTTGAACATTCATTGCCATATAGGAAATTAGGTATTACATAAAAATTCAGCAATGTTTTCTTTGTTTCTAATGGCATTTTCCTATCTCTTAATACTTTGCTTACTTTCTGAAAGGCATAAAGAGATAGCCAAATATGCACTGCCATATCAGAGATTAGATATTATATAGCAGTTCTAGTCCTGCATATGATAAGCTACATCAGGTAGCAAGTCCTCTAATCAGGAAATTGGAGGTTTTGAGGAGCATTGGACCACCTCTTAATTGCTGTTGTTCCCAAATCTACACTAACCAGGGGTGGTAGCACCTGTTAGGGTCCCAGCTGAGAGCAAATAATGAACCATCAAATAAAAACAAAAAACTGTAAAAGTATAAAAATACATTTTTATAGCAAAAATATCAACAATACATTTTTATATAGTAAAATGTCCTACTCCTAGTAAAATTACATATTTCTAGTAAAATTGCCAACAATAACTATTTCTAGTAAAATAACCAATAATACTTTTTATAGTAAAATGACCAACAATACATTTTATAACAAAACAACCAACAATACATTTTATAGCAAAACAACCAACAATACATTTTATAATAAAATGACCAACAATACATTTTATGGCAAAATGACCAAGAATATATTTTATAGCAAAATGATCAACAATACATTTTATAATAAAATGACCAACAATACATTTTATAATAAAATAACCAACAATACATTTTATGGTAAAATGACCAACAATACATTTTATAATAAAATGACTAACAATACATTTTATAGTAAAAGCAGCAACTATAAATTTTTCCATAATTGAAGGCATACAATTATGTTCAAAATATTTATATTTCAGCATTAAATAACCCATAGACATTGATATGCTGCTAAACAAAATCAACCAGCCAACGAACACAACAGCTCAACACTCTTTTCTTTGTTTCTAATAATATTATTTTACTGCCTCTTAATACTTTGCTTAGTTTCTGATAGGGATGAAGAATTTGGTGAACATTCAGTGTCAGAATGGAGATTAAATATTATATAGAACTTCAGTAATTTTTCTTTGTTTCTAATGACATTTTCTCATCTCTTAATACTTTGCTTAATTTCATATAGTAGATTAGATATTACATTCAACATTCTTTTCTTTGTTTCTAACAATTTTTCTATGTCTTAATACTGTGCATGAAAGTCAGAGCTATGAGTAAGAAAAAAATGAAGTATATTTATTATCTGTATATATATATATGTGTGTATGTCTGTGTATGTATTAAGTTCAAATGAAAGATCTTTCTGATTTTATCATGCATATTACAAATGAAGATACTAATGCTTATACAAATATTTAATCATCAATATAAACTCCATTGCTTCCTAGAACCATCTGTCAACTAGTTTGTAGATACCATCTGTCAACTACTTTGTAAATTGCTTAAGGTTTTGATATAAAATATGAGACTAACACATGTTCAACCTCTTCTCTTGATGTCAACCTTTGGTCATCCAAATGTAAACCCCTATACATAATCCAAAGGAGAAAGATCAGAACAGTATGAAGGCATAACATTTATATTTAAAAAAAAAAAACTAGGTGCAAGTAACTCTATAAACAATGGCAGAATGGGTCTAACAATATTGGTTGCCAGGGGAAAAATGGTGTCCATCATCAACTACAATGCTATCATTTAATTTTCATAACAAATGAATAAAATTTTCAAAAAATATATATAGAAAAAGGGTACAATTAAATTTTTTGTGTAAAAACTGGGTATTTCTTAGCAATTAAAATATACAAAAAATTAGTTATAACTGAAATTTTTTTTTTTTTTAATTTTAAATAATTGGTTGATATTTTTAAATACATAATTTAGACAGTAACAGCCTCTTAATTGCTATTGTGCCCAGGCCCACCCTGACACTATAGGGGTGGGCAAAAGTTAATCCCCAAACTGGGTTCCTAAAAATACAGTTTTAAGATAAATTACCAGTAATACATTTTTGTAAAAGAAATTACAATCAAGAAAATTAAATTTCAGCATTAAATGACCCATAAGGAGTTGATATGCCACTAAACAATCTTCCTTCCTATAAACAGTAACAGTTAAGTACAGTAGGGTATTAGATGCAGTCCACTATGCTAAGAGCAATTGTTTGTGTTCACAAGATAATTGTTCGAATCTGCCACTAATTGCTTCTGCATCCAATTCATCAAATAATTACTTTTTAATAGATAGTCACACATATAATCACAAATTCTCCTTAGTGAATTTCTTGTCTTTATGATCCTTAGCTTTGAAAATCTCCTCTCACATTGGACTTGAGTAACTGATAGCTTGCTTGATGAATTTATAAACATTTTATTCCTTTTTATTAAGAAAATAGTTGTCTGTGTTTGTTTCTGATGTAAAGGAATAACCTGTCACCCCTATGAGTGACTACACTATAGGTAATAACAACCTATATAAGTATCTGTAAATCAATGGACTACAGAGACTAACCAAAATCTTTTTGGCTAAAAATCTCGTTTGGGAGGTTTTGCTGAGCCTATGGGCTCAGAGAACCCACGTTAAACCAGCCTTGTGCCACATGCAACCCTCGTGGGGGGGTAGCTAAATATACTTGCCAAAATCTTTTTGGCTAAACAGCCGAACTCTATGCCTGAAGGCAGAGAGTAACCTAGATGAGGCTCTGTCAAAGGGCAGAGTCTTGTTCGGGGAGGTTGACTAACCTTGAACCCATTTATACAGGTTTGAAAGGGAATATTTTTGGCCGAGCCTATCAGCTCTGAGAACCCACATTAAATCCGGCCGTATGCCACATGCAATCCTCGTGGGGTGGGGGTGACTAAATAGTCTCGCCAAAATCTTTTCAGCTATACGGTTGAACTCTTTGCCTTCGAGTAGAGAGGAACCTAGACAAGGCTTCGCCAAAGGACAGAGTCTCATCTGGGATGGTAGACCAACCCGGACCCATTTTTTACAGGGTCTACGGGGAATTTTTGTCCAAGCCTGTGAGCTAGGATACCCCAAGTTAAATTTGACTTTGTGCCACATCCGATCACGTGGGGCTGTTGGCAAATATATTAACTGGGATCTGTTCCAGCTGTGCTGGTCAAACTCTTTGCTTCTGAGCAGAGTGGATCTGCAGACAAGGCTATGTCAAAGGGCAGAGTCTCATCTTGGGAAACAGCTACCCCCCCCCATTTTATATGGGATAGATGGGAAATTTTGGGTTGAGCATACGGGCCCTGTGCTACATCTGATTGCGTGGGGAGGTTAGTAAATATACTAGCTGCGATCCGTTCCTGCTGTGCTGTCAAACTCTCTTGGGCAGAGAAGAACCTGGACCAGGCTATGCTGAAGGACAGAGTTTCATCTGGAGAAGTAGACAGGCCTGAACCCGTTTATGCGGGTTCTATGGGGAATTTTTGGTCAAGCCTATGGGCTCAGATGACCCACATTAAACTCGGCCTTGTGCCACATCTAATCTCATGGGAGGGGGCTAGTAAATATTGACTAGCTGGGATCTGTTGAGTAAGTCTCAGATTTACGCGAGAACTATCTACCTTCCAACAGCACTCACTACTGGATTAACTTTTACCTTTATTCTTATTGTACTGGTTTTTACTTATTTTATCCAGCCCAGAATATAACAGTTTCATTATCAGGGAAACTGACCCCCTGGCCAGTCTGTGACTGTCTGTAAAAGTTACCAATTGATTTGATACTGTATCAAAATGATAACAAATCAATATTTTTTTTATTCTGATATCTGTTACAGTTTAAGGAAGGTTTAAAGAACATCAAACTACAAAAATTATTTCCAAAATAATTTTCCCAATTTTTCATCAGCCTATTTATGAAGTGCCCCCTTTTTTCTTACCAAGGTTTCAGTAAAATATCCAAATGTTTTCCCTTTTTTCTTTCTGATATAAGAAGCAACCAAAATGTGGTTCTACAGAAGGATGCTGAGGATACCATAGACTAAACATGTGAGCAATGACAAAGTTTTAGAGAAAATAGAAACTTATACTTAACTTCAGGAAGAGGTAGTTGAAATTTCTGGGGCACATAATGAGGAAAGAATGCTTGGTAAACCTGATACTCACAGGACAGATAGAGAGAGAGAGAGATTGTAAAGTACCAAAGACGATAATGGAATACCACTGTCCCACAATTATTGGTCAGTTTAGAAATATTACCAACATTATTGATTATTTCTCTTTTTGTATAAGTGTCCTTTCTGTTTCCATTTTCTCTAAAACTTCAATATTGCTTACATGTTTGGTCAATGGTATTCTCAGCATCCTTCTGTAGAACTACACTTCTGTTGCCTCAAGACTCTTCTCCAACATTCACTGCCATATAGGAAGACCGATATTACATAACAGTTCAATATTTCCCTTATTTCTAATGAAATTCTCCCATTTCTTAATATTTTGCTTAGCTCTTTTGCTATTCCAAGGCACCTCTGATGAAAGAGGGCTTGGAAAATCACAGGACAGATTAAAGGCAAGAGGAACAGAAGGAAAGAATGCATAACATACTTAGTGAGCTTGAGTAAATGGATAGCGGAACAAGTTTAGGAGTAATAACAAAAAGGCAAAATTTATTAAGAGCTACAAAGGACAAGAAATTGTGGAGAGCCATGATTGCTTACATCGTGAAGCACATAGCATAAGAAAGAAAAAGTAGAATTTCAACCATCAGTCCCCTTTCATTGTTTTTTTTTTTTTTTTTGACTTTATTTACTCTTCATATGAAATAGAGAAATCAGACATGAAATACCTTGTTGATTATCCAAATTTGGGATTCACTGTGTCCTAAAGAAATATTTGCTTTCGGTAATTTCTGGTTAATGACAATCTCTGGAAACAAGATCTCACCAGGTTTCTCCTGCAAAATTGACAGCAGAAAAAAAAAAAAAAAAATATTATTACTATTTTTTTAATCATATCACCCCATGCAAGACATTAAAGCCTCTAAGACACTAAGGGGTATTGAATATAGAAGAACAATAAAAAAAAAAAAAAAAGAAACTTTAGGGATTGAGAAGAACAAAAGAGCATTCAAGATAAGATTCAAGATAATGATTGACATTGCATTTAAATTTTTGAAGGTCAAATTTGACAGGGAAGCCACAAGTGAGAAGTGTAAGAGAAGAAACTGTTAAGCATTTCAACTGTAAAGTGATGAAACCTTGCTGCCAATCTAGTACTACACTTAAATTCATAAAGTCCAGGTCAGTCAGTTATGTGCCATGTGAAATACTCACTTAGGTGATCATGTATCTTTCGATACATGACTGATGAGGTAAATTTTTTTCCTGCAGTAGGTTGCCATTTCTTTCTGCACTAGACCAGTTGCCATCCAAGGCTAGAGAACCCAGTCTGTCTTGCTATTTATCCATAGCTAGGGGGAGAAGAAGAGGATTCATACTTTTCCCAAGGGTATTAGCACGTAAGTGAATGTAATGGATTTGACTGGAATTCGAACTTGGATCTCCAGGTACTATAGCAGAAAATCCATCAGAACAATTACCATGAAAGTATTTCTAGAAAAGGTACAGGAAAATTACATTACAGCAATGGGGAAAAGACTGCATCTGAGATACCAGGTCAGAACCAATAACATTGCAGATTCTTCTTTGGATTTCGTCAAGAATCTCTAAATCCATAGAAGAAACACCAGACTGGATGTGGTAGCAATATTTGACTGGTTGACTTATAAATATGTAAAATAGAGTCTGTTGAGAAAGATTATCTAGCACAACACAGTGAATCAACTTTTATGGTTTGATTTAAAATTATTAAATTCATTTAATAATTTCATTTAAAGAGATTCAATGTAACTAGTATCCATCATTACTGACCTTGTGTTGCATTAAGTGCCAAGATTCTTCAACTTCTGACTTTTTTAAGTCTTCCAAACTGAAAGCTGTCTCTTGGGAATGGTAAAGATTACTTGGAAATGCCGGAATTATTGTCCATTGGTTGCTACTAAAACAAAAATGAGAGACACGCAGATCAATACTGATTTATTTAAACATTGAGTTATATATATCAACATTGCTGAATTAAAATGGTTATCCCACCTTGTCTGCCAGATGATTTTCTCTTAAAGTTGGTCCTAGTTGCTTGACTATTTTCTTAAGAAAGTGTTAAAATGTGTATATATTTTGAGACACCATATCTCTCTCTCTCTCTCTCTCTCTCTCCCTCTCTCTCTCTCTCTATATATATATAATGTAGTGTCCTTTATTTTTTTTTTTTTAAATAAAAAATGTTAGATGGTCATTTGATAAAAAATTTCCTGAGGTAGTGGATTCAACTGACCTCAAGATTTTTTAAAAGTATATATATATATATATATATATATATATATATATATATATATATATACAGATCAAATATGGATTGGAATCCATCAGAATTATGATACACATCTACATGTAAATTATGCATGTAAACCCTGTTTGATAAGACAGATGAATGGTTCCTATATATATATATATATATATATATATATATATATATATAGTACATTGGGGCATCAGATCATTATTCAAATGTTTAAAATATATATATATATATATATTGGAGGAAAGATATATGACAAAGTAGAAAAAGTTTTCATATAACACATTTTATCCTTTAGGACTTCAGACTAGGTTTGTTTACATTGATGCAACTACACAATCACACAAATGAGAAACTCTGGAAATTTTAAATTTAAAAAATGCTGGGAATTTTAAACTTTTTCTTTATATACAGGGTACGATGGATAAAGAGTCGTCTAAATTATGCAAAAAAAAAAATTAAATAACACTGGCATATCATTTTAACAGATATATTTACCAAAATTGCACAAAAAAAATATCGTGTATGTGTATAAAAATAATGATATAATCAAGATGTTAATATTCCACATTACTTCAAATAAAAGGCTAGGAAGGAAATACTGCAAAGAGCAATAACAGCTCATATTACCATTTGAGAAACCTGTTTTCCTAAAAAGTTGTTTGACCTTTATCACTCTGTATGTGACATTATATGCTGTACAAAATGACTATGTTTTTCCTGCCACTGCCAATAGTATGTTTGAATTCCATAGATGTGTTGTCATATCCAGCTATGGCAACAGAAAACAACTTCAAGTGAAATTAATAATGCAATTGAGAGTCCTTGAAAAAGAATGCAGTTGAAAGAAAGGTAATATTAATAATGCAGTGAGCTAAAGGTTAAGAGAAAGATTTTATAAATTTCAACCAAAGGCAGTGCAGGATGCTTGGTCAATGAATGCCAAATGTTTCTTTAAAGGGAAACAGCTAATGTTACCATTACCATCATTCATCTTTAAACTGGCAACCAAAGGTCTACAGAGTGGGACTTGAGGGATAGATATATTCATGCAAATAGATTTGATGATATTAGACTGATTCAGGTGGCTTGGGGGACCACTTTCATTTTTGCTTTCAGTTCAGATATCTGAGACAAAAAAAAAACATTCAAACATGGGAAACATTAATAGATTTTTTTTATGGGAACATATTTGTCACACAGAGACATTGTGGAGTAATGAATAGCAGCTCAGAGTGAAGAATTGGAGAGTCGAATTCTAATTCCACTCAAATCCATTACATTCACTTCCGTGCTAATACCCTTGGGAAAGGAATGAATCCTTTTCTTCTCCCCCCAGCTATGGGTAAAGAGCGGAACAGACTGGGATCTATAGCCTTGGATGGCATCTGGCCTACTGCAGAAAGAAATGGCAACCTACTGCAGGTAAAAATCTGCTTCGTCAGTCATCAAAAGATACATGATCGCCTAAGCGTGTAAAACAAATGGCACATAAATGACTGATTTATCATACAAAACCAGCTACAATCAATGGGATAAAGGCAGTCATTAAAAGATAATGTGCAAATAAACTTTTTGTACAGCATATGATGTCACGTACAGAGTTATAAAATTTAAAACAACTTTTCAGGAATATAATGTTCTCAAGTCCAGTTGCTGTTATCACTCTTTCCAGTATTTCCTTTCTAACCTTTTATTTGAAGTTGTGTGGAATGTTAACATATTGATCATGTCATTATTTTCTCTCACAGTTACATGTGCTATCCATTTTAGTTGTTGCTGCTGTTGGTATTTCTTAAGTGATGTGGTTTCTCTTACTTGGTAAAATTCTTTGTTTCTGACTGTTTAGCACCAGTCCACAAAGTTCAAAGATGAATGGTCTTCACCAAGACCTTCAGACTTTACTTACTGAAAGCCATTTTTAACCATTGATTTTAGAAAGCAGTTGTATACATATTTCTGAATGGGTTTGACCATCATGCATGACAGCTTAAAATAATTGCACATTTGTCCTCTCTATTTTGAATTATCATTATTTGATATAGTATAATTACCATCAGATTACACATACAACACCTTTGATGAGTACTGGCTGATTCTTATTTAGAATTAAGCCAAATAAGAATCCCATATTTTAGCTAAACAAAAACTTTCCAGTCAACTTTGATCATTATAATTTAAATGAAATGTTGTCATTTCTATATCCTTGTTCTTTTATTGTCCTCTCTCTTTAGTAATGTTCCTATCAAATTCTTTCATATTCAATAAACCTGTGTATCTTAGTGGCTTTATCACCTTATCTGAGGTGAAATAATTAAAAAAATATCTCTAAGAAATTAGGAAAACTTAACACTATTATATCTAATATTACTATCAAATGCAAAGGAGAAACAAAATTATAATCCTGGGTATGACAATAAACTACATCTGGCAGCAAGACCTCTGCTTCAGAGGTTTTGAGGGATGTCGAACCACCTCTTAATTGCTGTTGTTTCCAGGTCTACCCTGACCCAGAGTGGTAGCACCTGTTAGGGTCCCAGCTGTGGTCAAATAGTAAACCTCCAAACTGGGATCAAAATATTATGAAAATATGAAAATATATTTTTATAGTAAAAATACCAGCAATATATTTTCATAATAAAAAAATTACCAGCAATACATTTAACAGAAAATAATTACCAAAGCTCTCAAGGAAATTAAATTTCAGCATTAAATGACCCATAAGGAGTTGATATGCCATTAAACAAACCAACCAAAGCAAACTAGAAACAAAATTATGACCAAAGAAAAATTTGAATTGAAAATTATTTCAAAGTTTGGATAATTTAACACTGTTATATCTATTAGTGTTGTAAATAAGAAAGAAAAAATAGTCATATATTAAAAATAATGACAATGTTTTATCATAAAAATTCAGACTACAGACTTACATTTATCACAAATACTAACTTTGAGGAAGTAACAAAATTAAGATAAAAGAAATTAACAACATCTGATAATAATAAGAATGCTTTATCTGAATAATTTGGACACCTTTAGACTAATATTTACATATTAAACTTTTGCATAATTATTTTGATATTAAAAACTAAAGTTCACTTATTGCTTGATAATCAAGTACTGATTATGTCAGTGGATATTTGTTGGAGTTACTCTTCTTTTCTTAAATCGCTTCACCCCAAGCAAGGCAATAAAGCCACTAACATGCAAGGAGTTACTGAGTGTCAGAGAATATGAGAAAAGAAAGCATTATTAAGGAGAGAAATCAATTAAAGAACAGAAATTAAAAAGATAATGATTGACATTGCATTTACATTTTTGAAGATCAATGTTTACTGGGAAGACATTTTTGTGACAGACCAGACGAGAGTTCCACAAACGAGAAGTGCAAGTGAAGAAACTGTTAGCATAGGACTTACGGTTACACCTAACCATTTTATATGTAAAATGATAAGACCTTGTACTAATCTATTAGTATGCTTAAATTCATAGAGTGTAGGTATCAAAGAGGAAAGCTCATCAGAACAATTACCATGAAAATATTTATAGAAAAAGACAGGGAAGCTACATTATGGCAGTGGGAAAGCCGAGATGCTGGGTGAAGACTAATAACATTGACAATTCTACTTTGGATTTTATCTAGAATTTCTAAACATATGGCAGAAGTACTAGACGAGATGTGGCAGCAATATTCAATACCTGGATGGATGGTAGACTAATAAATGTCTAAGATAGATTCTAGTAAGAAAAATTCTCTATTATGACACAATGAACCAACTTTCCTAGTAGCAGACTTAGCCATTGATTCAATATAATGTTTCCAGTTCATGTCAGAGGAAAATGTTAGCCTGAGAAGGTGTAATGAGTCATTTTCCTGGAGGTTAGCATCAGCCAAATAGATGGAAGTCAAAAGATTTCTCTCAGACAATTAAAAAAAAACAGTTTCATTTTAGAGGCATGTTTGAATACTGTTGCCATATATGGTTTGTTTCCCCCACTGTTCATTTTGAGGTTCTCAACAAAATCCAAAGATGGATATGCAATATGATTGGCAGCTTGACTGCAGTCACTTTGTCACAGACGTGATGTGGCTTCCCTCTGTCTTTTCTACAAATAATTTCATGACAACTGCTCTGACGAGCTGTTTTCACTGGTATCCCGATGTTATAAAATAAAATAAGACATATCTCGGCTGATTTACAGGCAAATAAACTAACATACTCAAGAGCGAGAGCTGGATGTGAACGGGACAAAGCCCCATCACAAAATGACCATTATCTTCGTTTACACATGTTCCCGACGCACGAGTTCCGGATGAAAAATAAAATAATATTTTAAAGTGTTTCTATTTTTCGATCAATAAAAATGCTTCCCTCCTAATTATACTCGTGTCGTTTTTCAAGCCTGTTAAGCCATAGAAAAAACGCCATAAAAGGGGTCATACAGAAGTACAACGGCAGTCAACAGGTGGCCAGGGAAGAGACCTGTCACGGTCAGGTTGAATGGTCAGCAGCAGCCAGCAGGAGGAACGCTACCCAACCTGTGAGAACTACTATGAGAGATCAACCCAGATCTTCAGCCGGCCTATGAACTATACCACAAGAAAGCTGTCCCAAACCCACACGTTCCTGCTGAAATCTATTTCTGCTGTTGTCTATAACACCGACAACATGAATTTAAGTGTGCTACTAGGTTAGCATCTCAGTCCCACCCTTTTACTGTTGAAACAATTAAATGTAACTGCTCTTCTACTCCAACAGCTTCTTCTCTCATACTTCCCAACAGCAGAACTCCCTTCTTCTTACTCGCTTCCCTGACAACTATAATCTTTGGAAATTTAAATGTAATGTCAATCGACATCTTCCGATGCCTTGATCCCTGTTCTTCTTTTTATCCTTTTCTCTATCCCTCTTATACCCTAGTCTTTTCTTTAATTTTCACTCTCTGTAGCCCCTTGCATACTAGTGGCATTCCCACTTTGCTTGTGGTGAATGTTTATATATAAAAGAAAAAATTAACAAGCCATTCCTTGCTCTAGTTAACAACAGATTGTAGGTCATTTTTTAGATCAGCTGCCAATTTGACCATATTGAACTGATCAGACTTAGTATTAAGACAGTAAATAGTTGTGTCATAAGTATAGATACTGAGTTGAGAACTGATGACATCAGGAAAGTCATTAATGAAAATTAGGATCAACATAGGTCTAAAGATAGAACCTTGTGGAACAACTACATTAATGCAAAAAGATTTAACAATATTAGTTTGATTCAAGTGGTTTAGGGACCACCTTAATTTCTGCTCCCAATTCAGATATTCAAGACAACAAAATATTTAAACTTCAGAAACATTAAAAAATAGTATCAATTCTTGCAGAATCGGAACTTTTGCTAACTGAAATAAATGTGCAAAGCATTTTTACCTTTCTTCATTGCTGTATTTATAATTTGGCTGTTTGCGAATGACGGCAGAATGTTCCATAAAATGCTGCACACCAACTCCATCAAAAACTGCTTGCATACAATAGGCTGAAAACAGATAACAGTAAGGGTAAAGAAAGTCTATTCACTAATATCTTTGCCTGATTTTGCATTCACAAATCTGCAAATCTTACGCCACAACTAATTCTATTTGAATCAAATTGTCAATAAATAACGAAAAAGAATGTTTCCTTTCTCTTTTTTTTTTTTTTGGCATAACTTCGTAACTATTCCTGATTAAAGAGTGTTGAGATGTTGAGTGTTTCCCCGTACGTGTATTGAAATAAGGACAAACACATACGTAGGGAAAAATACTGGTATATCTGAAGAGGTATTTACAACAGAGAGATTAGTAGTCAAATGAACACAGGTTAGTCAGTAACAATCAGAAAGAGTATAAAGTCCAACTGTATCTTCCAGTAGAGAGACGGAAGTGTGTTGGTCACCTGATCTCCCAGAACTCTATAGAACTATCCTATTAGTAGTAGAGAGAGAAGTCCATTCTGATGAGAAGGTGGGTGGCCCCAACAAAGAGCAAACTTCACATTGAAATCCACTGACAATTGCCATCCCATATTTTAGCTAAATAGAGACTTCTGGGAAATGCAGTCATGTTAATTCTAATCATCAGAATGTTTACCCTGTTGATAGGGTCATGAATATGCTGATTGCATTTACTGCAGAAGGCTAATACATCTCTCTAAATAGAGCCACCCACCAGATGAATGTTTGCAAACTTGGTGATGATTCATATTTACTTATAGTCTCAAATATAAACACAACCTATGTCTACCTACAAACAAGAGTATAAACCTGAGTTATGTTTACCTAGAGAATAAACAATAATAAAAAAAAATTTCAACATTAAATAACCTATGTCTACCTATAAACTCAAGTACTAAATCTATATATATACTCAAGCCCAACTTATGTGTACATAATGACAAATATAAACATGACCTATATCTGTGTTGATTGACTGACTTATTTTCTACAGCTTACCAACCCTTTGCAGGTTATTTAAAGCCAGAAAATATTTTTAGATTGTAAGAATTTTTTTAATAATGATTTAGTGATAGAAGTCTTACTAATTGACCCATAGCTAGAGGGAGAAGAGGTGGACTCATACATTTTCCAAGAGTATCTGCTTGTAAGGGAACATAACAAATCCAACTGCAATTAGAACTCAGCTCTCTGATTAACAATTCCAAACCCTTATCCATAACACCAACTGCACATCCAGGCTTACAGCACCTGGTATTCACAAGAAGTCACCTGTCAAGGTACTGACCAGGCTTTATGTTGCTTAACTTTGTATGGGAACCTGTGTTTCAACATGATGTGGCTGTAAGCCCATGACCTTTGTCCTATAGATTCAAATACAGGAATCCCTCAATTAGTGTGGCTAATATGTAACTATAAAAAAATCAATTTCCAATTACTATGGTTAAACTGAAGGACGTTTTATCACACTAATTGAGTATAACGTATGTACTAATGAAATTTTGTCTTATGTGGGAACACACCTATTCTATAGTTAATAGACTCTCCCACCTATAATAAGTAGGGGTAGTAAGAGTAACATGGCGTTTGGTCAGTCAATCAATGTTGGACGACAGTTAGTCGAATACTAAAGTATCAGCGACCACAACTAGATTACTCTGCATTATACCTATTATATCAAGTTCCTAACGTTTTGTACATCGAACCTATTTTAGGATCGACTTAGTACAAATACAAGCCTCCACTGTGAAATCACTCCACAACATTTCGATATATAAAAATTTTGGCACACTAATTGAAAACATGTTAATCGAATGTACATTAATTGAGGGATGCCTGTATAAACACAATCTATGTCTAACTATTGATTTTAGTATAAACACAACCTATAGGTTTAAGTGTAATTGCAACCTATATCTACTTAGAGGCTCAAGTAAAAAAATATCCTATGTTTATCTGGAGATTCATGAATAATAAAAAAAGAATTCAACATTAAATAACTTATTTCTACCTATAAGCTCAAGAATAAACACAGCCTATATCTATATATAGACTCAAGTCTAAGCCCAACCTATGTGTACATATTGACTTAAGTATAAACCTGACCTATATCTACCTACAGATTCAAATAGAAACCAAACCTATGTCTAGCTGTTGACTTAAGTATAAACACAACTTATGCCTAGCTATAGGCCTAAGTATGAACACAACCTATATTTACCTAAAGATTCATGAATAACAAAAGAACAGATTTCAACAATAAATAAGATAACAGAGGTTAATATGCTGTCAAATCCATCAATGCAACCGAACCCAACCTATTAGAATAATCCTCAGAGCCAATTTTAGATTTTCAAGGAAAAAATAGCTGATTAAATATAGAATCAAAAAGAAACATCAATGAAATATTTGAAACAAGTAAAAATTAATTGAATAATATTAGGTTATGTAAAGTTTGGAATTGTCTGATTTTATGGCATGTCAAACCTTGTTGGTTTATTTAACGTTGAATATTTGTACAGGGTACTTAGTGAGGATCAAACTTATTACTCAGTAGAAATAGGTCAATCAAACTAGTCTTGATAAAAAAATTACCAAACACCAAGGCACCTGGAAGTAATTTTAATATGAAAATACATTAGAAGTAATTTTACTATGAAAATGCATTGGAAATTATTTACTATGAAAATGCATTGGAAAGGGATTTTACTATGAAAATGCATTGGAAATTATTTACTATGAAAATGCATTGGAAAGGGATTTTACTATGAAAAGACATTGTAAAAGAATTTTAATAAAAATGTATTGGAAAGGGATTTTACTGTGAAAAGACGGAAATGATTCTATAATGAAAATGCATGGGAAAGGGATTTTACTATAAAAAAGGCATTGAAAGTGATTTAAGTCAGGTTGGCTGATTTTACAGCATATCAAACAATATTAGGTTATTTAATGCTCCATTTTGTATGAAGCACCCAGTGATTTTAGAACTCAGTACTCATAAACACCAAGATCACTGACAGAGATAATGTGGCAAAGAAATATTTTCTAATTCTTATATGCCTTTTCATTCAGACCATCAAACAATTTTGCTTGTTCTACTTACAATATTCAGATGTCTGTAGTACTCAGCAACCATCTTGTAATTTTGAACTGAACTCTTTATTCAATTCATAAAGGTAGATTGTTACCCAACCTGGGAATTAAACTCACAGTTGACAGAGAACCAGATATGTTTTATCCAAAACTAAAATCCATTAGGTCATGTGTCTGTTGGATTAAAGTGTTGTTTAAAATCTAAAGTTGTTTTATAGTAAGTTGTTTTTCTTCTACATGCCATGTCTTTTCAGGACGTGGGTGACCATGATTCTTCACAACTTCATTGTAGCTCTTAGAAAAGTTTGACTTTGCCTATATTTTTAATTCTTGTTTTTTTTTCCTGAATAAAGAGTTCAAAAGAAAAATATCCAACTCCCTGTTTTATTTTAAATTCCCCCTTTGTTCAAAACTCAAGTGCATTTGAAATAATTTTGAGTATATCTGTTAAAAACTGATTGTTCATTACAGTTTAAAAAAGAAACATTTGAATACTTTGTGTCATAGCCTCCAAAACATCTTTTTAGTACATCCATTCAAAATTAATTGTTCCTTAAGGTTTCAGTAGAACTGTGGACTAATGGATATATTATTTACTTGCCTATCTTCAGGTTAGATACTATGGAATTCCTACAAGTTTAAGCTAGTTCTTATAATTCCAGTGACTACACAGCTGTTCCTGTTAACAGAACACTTCTCTTGTTATTTTTCAATTTTATTCTTATTATTGTTGATTACTCTGACTGATTTAATGAAAGCATCAGATTCTTTAGTCATATCCTCATTTACAGCAGCAGTTAGCCTGCCACTATAGCCAGATTTACCTTTTTCTCTAGGATTGCCATTAACTCTGCTGACAAACAGTGGCATAGCTAAAGTGTGTGCCACTCAGGGCAGACGTTGAGTTTGCTGTCCCCAGCCCCCACAAAAAATACATATTGCACAATGACTTACTGTTAAAGTTATAAAACTAGTTTGTGTATGATTATAATATTACTTTCACATACTCAAATATAGTATGCTTTAAATACACACCAAACATACTTAACTTTAACAGTTAAAAAGTATAAATGACTTATAGGGGAAAAAGTGTAAAATATTAGAACCATTTTTATTTCTGAAATGAAAATTACAACTTTCTACAATTCTTGATTTTCTTGCTTTTTTTGTTGGCATATTCTTCAATGGCATTGTCAAAAACTATTTCATCTGTCAATTGTCACTCTACAGACAGTAGACAGGCCAGTATGGATAAATTGTCATCTAAATTATGCCAAAAATGAAAATAACACTAACATCTCATTTTAACAGATATATACACCAAAATTAGTCAAAAATATCTTGAAATACTAAAGAGTAAATTTATTCAATAAAATCGCCTGTAGTTTCAACCAAGGCCTCCAGAGGATTTTGAAATCTCCTGCAACTCTTCTAGATGATCTCCTTGATAAGTTGGTGAATGCTACCATGACCCTTGACTTCAGTTTATCTTTGGTGTTACAAAGAGTTTTGTTGGTCTATCATTCAACTGTGCACCACACATAATAATCAAGAGTTGTGCAGTCTGAGAAGTCAGGTGGCCAGATGTAAAGGATGATGTTGTCGCATAAATTGTCTGACAGACATGACTGGGCTCACCTGCTTGTGTGGCTTGGTGCAAAGTCATGTTGCCAAACAAAGGGTCTTCTAGCAGTCCCCCCAGCCTTGACCTCCTCAAGGCACTTGATGTAGTCTGGGACCTCTCACCAACAAATTTCGAAGTTCTTTTTTTATAAGAATGATCCAAGTATGTTTTCCAAGCTGCCATATTTTCATAATCACTATTAGACTCATTCAACTCTTTCTGAATCTGCTGCACTGTTTACTTCAACTATATACGTATAAAACTTGTGTCTGAACACT